TGTAATATTCCACAGCTTCCCAAGGGGGTGGCCAAGGTATTATTTTATCTGCATCACAATGCAGTTCTTCAGTCTGCTCAGTCTTGCATCTGTCTTGTCCTCTTGTCCTCTTGTCCTCTCCTTTCTTCCTATAATCTGAGAAGTATTGATAGCTAATAAATATTCTGCATGCGAAACCCTTCAGTGCCTGCTTCTCAAACTAGTTACTCTCTAGGGAGAGTTTTCTTGCAATTTCCCTTCACTGTCATCCTGGAGATTCCCTTTGATACATGTTAGATTCTCTATTTTTAGGATCTCAAGCCTTCTTCTCTTTGCTTTACTCTCTAGTAGTTTCCCAAGAAGAGTTACAAGGAAATTATCTTTTTAAAACCTGTGTGTCTGAACATTTATTCCTATCACATATAGCTGATAGCTTAGTTGGGCATAATCTTCAGGGAAAGAAATAATTTCCCTCAGAATTCTGAAGGCATTGTTCAATTTTCTTTTGTTTCCACGTTTTGTGTTAGGAAGTATGATGCCAGTACAACTCTTAAACCTTTACATGAAAGCTGTATTTCTTCTCAGCAAATCTGTAGGATCCTCTTTGTTCCCATTGTTTTGAAATTACATCTTTCTCCAGTTTAGGATTCTGGTAGTTTATTACTACTCATCCAGTTACTTTCCACCTTCCCAAATTTTCTTTCTCTTAGCTCCTCTGTTTTCTTTGTCCTTCTATATCTATACTTTAAAGCAAACAGATGGGCAGACAAACAAACAATAATAACACATTATAGTGCCTTTTGGGAAGGAGGGAGCAAGGGGTTAAGTATGTATGTTTAGCCCCACATTTTTAAGCAGAGATTGAATTCGATGTTTTCAAGGAAAAGTTTATCTGGGGAAGCTGCTATATCTTTCTTTCCTCTCCTCCTCCCTTTGAGTTTTTTTTTTTTTATTCCTTCCCATAAGCACTAACTGCATAACTATGCCAAATGAGAAGTTGTGTCTATAAAAGTCATTGTTTTGGTGCCTTTGATTCTACATATCCATGGCTAGGATATAGAGATAGCTCCGCTCTCTTCTGATTCCAGTCCTGTGTAGACTGTGCTAAGAGCCAACAAACTGCTGTTGACAAGGAGGAGAAGTCATATTTATGCATTCTAGTTAAGTTGGTCACCTGTGAATTTCCGTAAGACTCAACCTAAGGAATGTCCATTTTCAATAAATGCAGAGGGCTGCAGGTTACTTGAGGAAATTGAATTAGTGAAATAGATCCTTAAGTCCACTACTGAAAACTCTTACCCACAAGTACTTTTTTGGTGGGAGTGACTGACACGGTACAAACAGAACCCCTCGGCTGAAATTAAAGGATAATTAGTTGAGAGACAAGAGAGAGAAAATGGATCCCAATAAATCAGTTCCCTAATTCTTTACAACCTTTAGAATTAGATATGCTCTAAATATGAGATGCAACTATTTACCATTATGTGCTAAATAATATAAACTCCTAGAACATAATTCTTATGGTCATTAGTTGAGAAAGTGAGAAAATTGGAAGCTCTTAACTTCTTGTTCTATCTGTTCTAGTGAAAGAGCACTAGCAGAACAGATATCCCAACCCCACTTAAAAAAAAATTCAGCCACTATATTTAATATCTTTGTGACTTTGGGTAAGTTACTTTGGGTAACTTTGGGTTACTTTGGGTAAGTACTCTGGGTACTTTGGGTAAGATATACATTCTATATTTGTAATTTGGAGAAAATATTAATTTCTTCATAGGGTTGTTGTTAATGACTTAATGTATGTAAAGCTTTGAGCATGACAATGTTTATATTTGGTAGGTTTTCAATTAATATAGTTTTCTTCCCTCTTGACATCTGTGTTCGGCCAAGAACATTGTAATTTGTATGTGCAATAAAATTTGGGGGCCACACTATTAATACTCTTTTGAAGAATCTACTAGATAAGGAGGTTTCATCTATATTAACTGAACGGTGAATTCAGGTGGGTCTTAATCCCCTCCATACATGTTCCATCCTCAAATTAAGGCCAATTTGAGGTGGCATGAGGGCCTCAGAATGAGGGAAGATTTCATAGCTAGAGGTAACTGCAGCAAAGAAAATTGGGGTCTGTAAATAAGAACTGACAGCTAAAGCAAAGATTAATCTTAATGGCACGCATTAACAATATGCAATTTGAGATTGGCAGTGGAGAATTCTCCCTGAGAACTGGCGTTAGGCAGTATGGGTCTTGACAAGAGAATTCACATGGGCAAGCACATTCATTCAATACGCCTTTTCTGTCCCAAAGACATTAGCATACCCAGAGACCCACAAGATCAGGGAAAGTGGCCTCCTTATTCACATCAAATCATTGTATGTACAGACCGTTTCCATTTAATGTAATTGTCATTCGGCAGTAAAAACTCACTTGTATAACTTAGAAGTGACAAGGAAATTGGATGGAGCTTCACATGGTTGACTCTCGGAGAAGAATGAAGCAGTGACTAGAAAGCTTGAAATTAAACCCTAGTGTCTGTAAAGGTTTAGGGGGGTTGTGTTCACATACAAAGCGATGGCAGAAAGGAGCCCAGTTGGGTTATTTAGGACTTTCACCAGACTTGTTTCATAGGATACTTCTCTTGGGTCGGATTCTGGACTGAAGGGTACCACTGTGACCACCAACTCCTCTTCATGCTTGAGGGTGGTGAAGAGCCAAAGGGCCTAGGGACCATGAAGTGCCTGGATATTGCCTCCTTCAGAGTGTTCAAACTATTGTTGACTCTCTGGGCCAGTCAGGCAACATAACTTTTTTTTTTTTTTTTTTTTTTTTAATGCCTCATTTGAGTAGATCCAGTTACAACTGCATTTATCCTTCCTGATGAGAATCTTATAAATATTAGTGGAAGTTATCTGAAAGTTTTAGAAAAGGGAATATACAAAAATATTGCAGCTTTTACATTTCAAAGGATATATTTAAGTTGTAAACTGATAAAAAGCTTACTTTGTTAACTGTGCTTTCTTAACAGCTGAAAGATAAATATCTTTTCTAAATTTATATTTTCTAAAAATATGCATTTCCCCATTTATTAAAAGTGCTCTTTTATTCTTCAAGTACACAGTAGGTTTTTGTTGTACAGAAAATTATATTTTCTAATACTACATATTCTCTATTTGGTATGTCATTACAGAAAATGCAGATATGTAATAGTGGTTATTGAATAATCAGGTATTTGCTAGATGGGCATAATCCTGAGAACCAAAGGTGATTTGCTAGATGGGCATAATCCTGAGAACCAAAGGTGAGATGGCATTTTTATTGTAGATGGTAGGGAAGGTATACCTGAAGAGTTATGGCAAGATTTGAGAAACTTATACATGTCCCAAGAACTACATATAGATTGGATCAGTATTACATGTTGCATGTACACATGGGATATCGAAATAGCACATGAACATTTTTCACTTCAAAATGTCCTCACGTTTGAGAACTTGTGGAGCCACTTTTCTGTTCTGAATTTTCAGATATGATCTGTCTGCTATCTTGCCTGGCACAGACTGTCATGGATGGGAAAGAAGGCTAAGGAATGTACATGGAACATCTCCATGGTCCAAATAGTGACCTCAAGCTCAGGGAGGCACTGTAATATGGTCAAGGCCATGCAGCTAGCTAGAGATATAGCCAGCTTTAAAACCCAAATTGGTCTGATTTTAAAGTTTTTTTTTTATGTTTATTTATTTTTGAGAGAGAGAGAGAGAAAGGGAGAGTGAGTGGGGGGAGGGGCAGAGAGAGAGGGAGACACAGAATCTGAAGCAGGCTCCAGGCTCTGAGCTGTCAGCACAGAGTCTGACGCGGGGCTCGAACCCACAAACTGCGAGATCATGACCTGAGCCGAAGTCGGATGCTTAACCGGCTGAGCCCCCCAGGCGCCCCAAATTGGTCTGATTTTAAAGCCCAAACCCTTTTAACTCTATCACATTGCCTTTCAACTGAACATATTTGTTTTCTTATACCATACTTTAAAAGATTCAGTTCCTAGGAGGAAATAGAAGAATATGTGTGCACAGGGATGCGGAACTATGTTTATACATGTTGCTTTGAGCCTCAGTAATCAACCATTTAATACAATAAAAGAGAGAGGGTTAAGGGGTGCCCCACATGGAATAGCAGTAGAAAATGGTCCTGAGCTAGTAAGGAGCCCTGGAAGAGTGGCCAAGTGCTGCCTGGGGAGTTAGGAGGCATCCCTTCTCACCGCATCCCAGCCATCAACCTTCCGTGAGACTAGGGAGACACCCCTACCCTATTGTGCCCTCTGTTCTTTCATTTGTAGAATGAAAAGGAAAAAGGTAGCCTGAAAAACAAACTGGATATCTGCTCTGGCTTCCTAATCCAAATGTGCAAGACAGCCAGGCTATGGAATAAAATTCGAGTCAAGTCTTCATTGTTATCACTGGCTGTATTTCTTGAGTAAATAATTAAACTTCATCTATTTTAAACCAATCCATTTTTCACCAAAATTATATTGATGAAGAAATCACAACAAATATCATTCTTTCATTTACTTTGCCATGAGTCAAGTAGTGCTATAAACCCTATTTCTGACTCCTTAACATCATACTGACTTTATTGTCAAAAAAGAACAGTGGGAATATGTGCACAGAAAAAATTACTTTCTTTCTTCACAATTCAAAAATATTATGAAATAGGCACAGGAGAAGCCATGTTAAGTCAAATGGGCCCCAAGGACAGACCATCAGTTTTATATACATCATTCACCATAGAATTATTTTTTAATTAAAAAAAATTTTCATGTTTATTTATTTTTGAGAGACAGAGAGGCAGAGAGAGAGGGAGACATAGAATCTGAAGCATGCTCCAGGCTCTGAGCTGTCAGCACAGAGCCTGATGGGGGGCTTGAACTCAGGAACCACGAGATCATGACCCGAACTGAGGTCAGATGCTTTACTAACTGAGCCACCCAAGCACCCCACCATAGAATTCTTAATGAGACTTTAAAGAAGACTTATCGACAAATGAATGTACTGTATTTTATAAGCATAACCAACTCAGAAGTATATTAAACAAGGACACAGCAGCACAGACATCGCTAGAACTCATTGGTACCACCACGGAGGGTGGTGCCAGGGAAGCGTCCTTAGGTTTCTGACTCTCAGGGGATGCATAAAAATCGAGGAGTCTGCCCTGGAGCGACTCTCAACTCCCAAGGCCATTGTGATGAAGGGGCAGAAGAGCTTTCTGGGGCCCAGCTCTCCAGTCCCTCCAGCAGTGGAGGCCTCTTGGGATCCAATACAGCCGTCTTCATTTTGAACTGTAGAGAAAAAAGAATAACGTGTAGATGTTATTTTTTTCCTAAATTACCTAAGCGTAAGAAGGTTGCTTAGCACTGACATAAAGGAACACAAAATTTTGAATTAGAACATCTTATAGTTGGAAAGAAATCCTAGTGCCTTGAAGTTTTACAACCATAGGAAATGGATAAAGGCTGCAAAATGTGTGACTTTATGACTTCTATAGTGAGGAAAAAATTAGGGAGGGGATGGAGGCAGAGCAGGGCCATGTAGATGGTAAATTTCTTGTCATTATAAGGTTTTGGTAAAGAAGCCAGAAAAACAAACGTTTGAATTAGGAATTGAGAGATTGAGAGTGAGGCCAGGACAACAACAACCACCACTATCAATCAATCAACCAACCAATCAATAAGAAGAATGTTAACAACAAAAACAGCAATAATAGCAATGATTCTTGGCTTTTTTTAGACACACAGCATTGCTTTGAGATGGACAAAAAACCATAAGAGTTCAGGAAGATGGTCTTGACGTGTATCCGCTTCCCATTGTGCCTGTATACAAAGGGGACCTTTCATCTTATAAATAAAATCCAAATTTGATGGAGTTCCTCCGCATTATGAAACTATTGCCCTACAGCAGTTTGAAAAAGGAGAGACTCATTTGGCTTAAAATTGCAGCATGTAAGAAGTGTGTGGCAGTGAGAACCAGGGCCACACTGTCTGATCCCGCAGGACATGCAAGGAGAAAACTGCTGGAGTAGTCAGGCAGTCTCCCTCTGTCGGAGTCCTCATTTGTCAGAGAGAGGTCATTGGTATTATCTGCGTCATCTGACCTAAAGGGCTTTTAGGGGAGTGAAGGGAGACCAAGGGTGCCAGGCAACCCACAGAATGTCTGCTTTTCAGTTCTTGAGCCAAAGAATCAGTTCTGTCCGAACATAATGGAGGCAAGAATTGCTAAATCTGGGCTGTACATTTCAAGGAAGCAGTGAAAGAAGAGAGGCTGCATCCCATCTGATAAAACAGGGCCTGACTTGGCTGACCTGTAGGGAGGAGCGATAGGCCGGGCCACCATGACCCCTCACATCTTTCCCTGAACTACTTCCTCCCTCTTTGGAAGCCTAACCCTCTGAACAGATTGAGTAGTGATTCTTTGGCTGCACATCTGAGTTTCTTCACGTTGCCAGCCAGCCTGGCACATGTAATCCGGAGAGATGGCTTGAGCTGGTTTCTGGAGACCTAGGTTCTTGGTCCAGTGGCCATGGTCCTGCCCGACATCCATGTTGTTTTGGGCCTTTATTGGCCAGTCACCTGGTGATATGTCCTGGTGAACCTGCAACTGCAAAATAAAAATCACCATCCTTTTTGAGAATGTGGACTTGAGAGGAAGACCAGATTTATTGGTCCACTCCTCCTGATTCACCCCACAGAAGCAAGGGTGGAGAAGATCTCCTTTTCCAGGTAGTCAACCCCAGGGAGGAAGCTTGCTGAAGAACTTGCCTGCCCGTGGGAGTTGTTTGGAGCCCCCAGCACCACCATCCGTCTCCTCTGTCAGAAGACGATGTGAGAATATGATCTGGTTGCTTGGTGATGATGAGATGGTTTACTTTGGACCCCCAAGAAATGCTTCTTTGTGTTGTAGGGCAAAGCTTTGTGATGGCCATATGTCTTTTATGCAAGCACTGTTCATTCAATTATGATCTTCTGGGGTCTAAGGTTCTCTTGTGTATCAATGTTGAAGTTCCAAACAGTGGGAGAGAGCAAAGGTGTTTCAGAGGCCTTAACATCTTTATCTGAAATTATGCCATCTTTGGTAACTGAACAGTTTACTGAGTATTCATCTTTTTTCCAGCTACCATTCGTTCATCTAGCTTCTGTCGGCTTTAAGAAACCATAATCATAGGGGCACCTGGGTGGCATAGTTGGTTAAGCATCCAACTCTTGATTTCAGCTCAGGTCATGATCTCATCGTTCCTGAGGTCCAGCCCTGTGTCAGGCTTTGCACTGACAGCGAGGAGCCTGCTTGGGATTCTCTCTCTTCCTCGCTCTCTACCCCTCCCCTGCTTGTGCTTTTTCTCTCTCTCAAAATAAATTAAAAATTAAAAAAAAAAAAAAAAGAAGCCATAATCATAAAAGCCCTTGGCATGGACAGACTAGTAGAAGAAAACCCATGTGGAAAGGACATATCATTTTGGTTCCCCAACCAGCACTCAAGAGCTTTGCTATGTCTCTCAAGGCCAGTGGGCAGATGTGAGACAAATGTTTCTGAACCTTAGTCTTCTCATGTATAAAATAGGGGCAATAAGAACAGGTTGGGGCAAAGCAGGTACATGCTGTGGTGTTCTGAGGTTCAAACAAGGTAATATGTTTAACTTCCCAGCACAGTGTCTAATTAATTCCATTCTCTCCTCTTTCCATTTTTTAATTAGAACCAATCCAGATTCACAATGGAATCAACCTCCACATCCACGTCTTCTAATCCTCTCCTCTCTTGGGGAAAACAAGAAAACTCCACACTTTTTTCTCCCATATAATTGGAGTTCTACATGACCAGGCCTGGCTGATCTCTCCAACCTTATCGCCATCTTACGTCCCATCCAGCCCACCATTCCTGCCCCAAGCACCACTGCATTAATCACACCTTCCCTTGGGCCACTTCTGACCACTGCAGTCTTACACTGTATGAATCACACTGCAGTGTAATGAGTCATGTCTGCTTCCCTCCCAGACTGTGAACTTCTTAAGGGGAGTGACCCCTTCTTGTTTGTATTTGATATCTAGTGCCTAGTAGGTAACCAATAAACTTTTAGTTAATAAACATTAAGCCTGACTCCAGGGGGTTGTAAAGATGGCCTGAGTATTTTAGAGGGATCCTTTTGGTTTCTTTGAAGACTTCCCACCAAATAAATACATATGATTTCATTTTAGAAGAAGGATAATTGGTTTTTCTCTGTGAACAAGGAAGACACTTCCTTTTTTGCTTCTTACTGATGTGTGGTGAAGGACATAAATTGTACAGGAAACAGGACACAGAGACATAAACCTGCTTAATCCAATTATATGTCTCAATCAACAGACAACGTCCCAAGAGAGGAGAGGAAGATGCACAGGATGGAGACCACTGCAGGGGAGCTAGGAAGCTGTGCTCTCACTGGTTTCTTTGTTTGCTTGTTTGTTTTGTTTTTGTTTTGCTTTGTTTTGGAAAGAGAGAGAGGCAAAAAGAGGAGAAGGAAATATAGTGACTGCCATAGGAAATGAGAATCAGTGTTTAGTCTTTGGCATGTTGTTGAACAGTGGACACATTAATGATTTTTTGAAGACAAATGAAGCAAAAAACAAAATAAAACAAAACAAACAAACAAAAAACAGAAGAAGAAGAAAGAAAGCACACAAACAAAACAAAACAAGAAACCAAAGTGAGGAATACAAGAACCAGACTCTTAAAAGGAAAGACTCTAATTACAGTCATTTGAGAAAAGTCATGCTTGTAGCCTGTTGCAGACAACACACAACTTCTAATTCTCAGGAACGGAGGCCTGAAGAAGGCTAGTGGGGTGCGGGAGACAGGGATAGTGCAGCACTGACAGTTAATGAACATGGGACCAAGCACTTTGACTTCACATAATATACCGTATTTAGCCCTTACTACAACAATTCTATACAGCAACTTTGTCATTTGCATTTGCAAATAAACTGATGTTCATCTATTAGCTGTTTCAACTGTTTCAAAGGTTTTTGTTCAGCTGGTTAGTAATGGTAGAGCTGAGATTTGAACCCACATCTCCTTGAGTCACTTTCTGTCTCTCCTGCACTGTATCATGCTCTTTCCCCAATGGGATGTGACTTGTAAAACCCTATTTCCTTGGCTTCAGGCTTTAGGCTCATTTGTACTGTTGGATTTGAACTCCAGAGCAGGGCCTCAGAGCTCCCCTTACTGTGTTATTCCTAATTAAATGTCCATTCCTTACACTTGTAGTTGAACCTCTCTTTTGCATACAACCTTTACCCTGTTTGTAGCGCTGAGCTCTTGAGTTATTACCTGGGACCCAGACTCATGGAATGATTATCACCTAAAGCCTTGCCTATCAGCATGGGAGGGGATAGAGAGTGTCCTGGAGAGTCTCAAACCAGCAATCACATACTCCAGTCAGAAGCGATTCCACCTACCACTCATTTGCTAGAGCCAGACACAGAGAAAGCTGAGCACAGGAAATATTTGGTAAACAGCCTCAATGACTACTGAAGCATTCGTTGTTTCAACATACTAGATATTTTATATCTTTACCATGTTTATTATCTGTCTCCTGTCCAGAATGTTTGCTCCATGAAGACAGAGGTCTTAGTCTTGTTCCCAGATGTATCTTCAGTGCCCAGAACAGTGCTTGGCAAAAGCACTCAACAAACAGCTGAGTGAGTGAACAATATTATTAATTCTACCTTCATTTGCTGAGTGGTCTTGGGCAAGTCTTTTATATTCTCTGAGCCTCCAAATTTCCTTTTAGAAAATGAGGATAAAGGGATAATCTCTTATAGCATTGCAGTGAGAATCGATGAGATAAGCAGGCAAAGTGACAAGTAGAAGACCTAACCCATGAAAAGCTCTGGATAAATTTTGGTTTCTTTTCACCTCCAGGGGCCATATTAGCCCTCTGACTTTTAATGCAATTCTCAAGCAAATCTGAATTTAAAAAAATAGAGCAACTGCATAGTTTGAATACATTCTGTAACTTTTCTGTTTCTCTCCCAGTGTGCGGAACAATACTGATGTTTGCCTCTGAAATTTTCCCCTAGCAATAGTTGGAAAACTGTGTAAGTGGAGGCTCTTTGACTCGGGGTGGGAGTGAAGTTGAGTACAGCCACTGGCCAAGCCTTTCAAACAGTGTAACAAATGATGTGTGGGCACAACTGGGGAAAATGCACACATTCTTCATTGGTCTGGTGAAATCATGTTTGGCCCCCAGGTGCACTTTACCTGTTAACAGCATTTAGACAGATTTATCAGCTGTAAATTTTGCACCATGAAA